TATGAGGGAGGGAGGGAGGGAGGGAGGGAGGGAGAAAGGGAAGAAAGGTGGGAGGGGGAGAGAGAGAGAGATGAAAGAGAAACGTCTATTGGTTGCCTCTTGTATGCACCCTGACTGGGGATCAAACCTGCAATCTAGGTATGTGCCCTGACCTGGAATCCAACCCATGACCTTCTGGTGCATGGGACGATGCTCCAACCAACTGAAATCACAGTGGCCAGGGCAGGTCATGCTTTTTAATTTACTCTGCCAATGTCTTTTACTTGGTATATTTAGACCATTTACATTTAGTATATTTATTGATGTGTTAGAGCTCAAGTCTGCTATTTTATTTATTAATTATTTTTTTGTTTGTTCTCTCTGTGTTTTGTTTCTGTTTTATTTTTTGTCTTCCTATGGGTTACCTGAACAGTTTTTTAAAATTCAATTTTGATTTATCTATAGTGAATTCCTGAAAGATAATTTCACTGAATATAGAATTCTGGATTGATATTTGTTTTCTTTCAGCAGTTAAAAAACGTGCCATTGCCTCTGGCCACTGGGGTTTCCCATGAGGAATCTGATGTCATTTGGATTGTTTCCCCCTTATAGGTGAAGTGTCATGCCTTTCTCAGTGCTGTAAGAGGATCGATTTGTGTTGTTCTGAGTCACCCTGTTTGTGGTGATTTGTTTCAGCACCAATAAGAAACTAATACAACTAGTGTTGAGTATAGTCCTATGGGCTTTGCTGTGCCGACTCAAGTAAATCTCACTTGGCGTTGAGAAGTAGGCTCTCTCATTCCCCCACTTTCTAGATGCAGCAGAGCAGGCTCCAAAAAGGCGAGGGACCTGCCCAGGGTTACACAACACACAACACACACTCACACCAGCTCTGGAAAGATCCGAACATGAGCTCTGGGAAGGCGGTTCTTACCATCACCCCCACTTTTCTGAAGAGGAAGTGGGGTAAGACAGGTTTACAATTCCAAACTCTCTCCAGGGGGAAGCCTGGGCCTGGGGACCCAACCTGCAGCTCCACAGGCTCTGGGGGAGGCAGCCAGGCGGGGGGCGGTGGGGTGGGGAGGCCGCCTTCTCTGCTCCCCCCCAGAGCCAGCAAACATGGGCATGGTGTGTTGTGCTCAAATCTGGGGCCCTGCCTGGCAATGCGACTAAGAGGCCACACAAGAGTCCCATGGCCCAGCAGTCAGTGAGGCCGGGGGCACCTTACCGTCTTCACTGAAGACGGGGGCAGTGCACAGGTAGTGGGTGATGCTGGGGTCTTGCTCGAAGGGACACTCCACTTGTTTCCATGTGATGAACTCTCCAACCTGCTTGGCCAGCTCCAGAAATTTCTGCCAGGGTCACAGAGACACACGATGGTGGCACTCCACTCCCAGGGCTCGACATTCCCTGGGAGAGCGGGGTTGGCAAGACTTCTTTCATCACCTCTGGGTGAGCAAGTTGGAACTCGGGGCAATAAATGGCATCACCAGCATCAGAAAACCTGGGAGTTCATCATCGCTCTTCATTCCCTCTGAGTAATCAGCCGCACCTGACACCTAGGACTCCCCAGCCCCTGGGGCCTGGGCTATGGCCCTTAGTAGCCAGTGCCTCTAGCTAGAGGTGAGCATCACTTTAGTTTCATTCTATTTATTTACTAGAGGCCCGATGCACGAAATTTGTACAAGAGTAGGCCTTCGTTCCCCTGGCTGCCGGCACCGGCTTCCCTCTGGCACCTGGGACCCAGGCTTCCCTCGTAGCACCAGCTTCATCTGGTCTAATTAGTATATTACGCTTTTACTATTATAGATTAGAGGCCCGGTGCACAAAAATTTGTGCACTCGCGGGGGAAGGGGGGGTCCCTCAGCCCGGCCTGTGCCCTCTCGCAGTCTGGAACCCCTCGGGAGATAACGCCCTGCTGGCTTAGGCCTGTTCCTGGGTGGCAGAGGGCAGGCCCAATCCCTAGGTGCAGCCCCTGGTCAGGCTCAGAGCAGGGCCAATTGGGGAGTTGGGGCGCCGCCCCGTCATGCACAGAGCAGGGCGGATCGGGAGGTTGCGATGCCACCCTCAGTCACGTTCAGGGTAGGGCCGATTGGGGGGTTGGGGCACCGTCCCCTGTCACACTCAAGGCAGGGTCGATGGGGAGGTTGCGGCGCCACCCCCTGTCACACACAGAGCAGGGCCAATCCAGGGGTGGGCGCTGCCCCCTGTCACACACAGAGCAGGGCCATCAGGGGTTGGGGAGCTCCTCCCCTGTCACTCAGAGAGTAGGGCCGATAGGGGAGTTGGGGCACTGCCCCC